ATAGTGTTATAGCTTAGGCTATTTATTTATTTTACTTAGGTATATATTGTTAATAATTTGCATGGTTAATATTGTTCTTTGGTGTTCAGTTTATATAGGTTTTTCAAATGTTATAATAAAAATATTTTTTTCCTCTCTCAAAATCTCTCTTTAAAAAAAAAAAAAAAGAGATAAAAAAAAATGAACAGATTATTTTGAGTCTCTTTTGGACTGATAAGAAAAAAAGCGAGCTGGTCACGCCGGTGTGACCGCCGACCCCAGAAACCATTGAAACAAAACCTAATTATATTTGTTTTACTTTTAGGTATGATGGCGGAAGGAAAACTGTCCTTACCATATGTGAGTAAATCTATGTTAAATAATACAGTGTTTTTAAAATGAAATTTAAGGAAAATATGACAGGCTTAAAAATAACATAATAGAATAAAGAATACAAGAATAAGTGATATTTACGTGAACCAAAATTCAATTAATTAAAAAAGAACTAAGAAATAAACAACAATGAAATACGTATTTTCACAGTATATTTGTGGTGGACGGTTTACGGATGTACGACAGGACTTGAAACTACAAAATCAGTTCTAACGAAGTCAGAAGTTTATACCACAACACCAGTTCAATCGACAGAAAATGAGGCTTTTACAGCCACAGGTGTGCATCAAACAACAACAACAACTAAAGATTTAACCTCAACACTACTTTCTACAACCACAATGAACCCTCAAACAATAGTGGAGGAGTCAATGACAGAAGCAAAAACTACAATTCATCACACAAGCACAACTATGATTGAAACCACATCCACTATTGGTAAAACAGCAACCTTGGCAAAAACAAGTAACCCTGCAACATCCTCAACTGTAGAACCAACATTGACAGCTGATGGAGGAACCACAACTATGTCTGACACCACAACAATTATTGGTGCAACAACAAATTTGGCAAGCACAAGTACCCTTCCAACATCCTCAACTGTAGCACCAATGTCGACAACTGATGCAGGAACAACAACTATGTCTGACACAACAACAACTGTTGGTGCAGCAATAACAACAACTTTGGCATCTACAAGTACCCTTCCAACATCCTCAACTGTAGCACCAACATCATCACCTGAAGCAGCAACTACAACTATGTATGACATCACAACAACTGTTGGTGCAACAACAACAACAACTTTGGCATCCACAAGTAACCCTCCAACATCCTCAACTGTAGCACCAACGCCGGCAACTGATGCAGGAACAACCTCTATGTCTGACACCACAACAACTATTGGTGCAACAATAACAACAACTTTGGCATCCACAAGTACCATTCCAACATCCTCAACTGTAGCACCAACATCATCAACTGATGCAACAACTACAACTATGTATGACACCACAACAACTGTTGGTGCAACAACAACAACAACTTTGGCATCCACAAGTAACCCTCCGACATCCTCAACTGTGGCACCAACATCGACAACTGATGCAGGAACAACAACTATGTCTGACACAAAAACAACTGTTGGTGCAACAACAACTTTGGCATCCACAAGTAACCCTCCAACATCCTCAACTGTAGAACCAACGTCGACAACTGATGCAGTAACCACGTCTATGTCTGACACAACAACAACTGTTGGTGCAACAACAACAACAACTTTGGCATCCACAAGTAACCCTACAACATCCTCAACTGTAGCACCAACTTCGACAACTGATGCAGCAACTATAACTATGTATGACACCACAACAACTGTTGGTGCAACAACAACAACTTTGGCATCCACAAATAACCCTCCAACATCCTCAACTGTAGCACCAACATCGACAAATGATGCAGGAACAACGTCTATGTCTGACACAACAACAACTGTTGGTGCAACAGCAACAACAACTTTGGCATCCACAAGTAACCCTACAACATTCTCAACTGTAGCACCAACGTCGAAAACTGATGCAGGAACCACATCTATGTCTGACACCACAACAACGGTTGGTGCAACAATAACAACAACTTTGGCATCCACAAGTACCCTTCCAACATCATCAACTGTAGTACCAAAATCATCAAATCATGCAGCAACTACAACTATGTATGACACCACAACAACTGTCGGTACAACAACAACAACAACAACTTTGGAATCCACAAGTAACCCTCCAACATCCTCAACTGTAGCACCAACAACGACAACTGTTGCAGGAACAACAACTATGTCTGACACAACAACAACTGTTGGTGCAACAACAACAACTTTGGCATCCACAAGTAACCCTTCAACATCCTCAACTTTCTCACCATCGTCGAAAACTGATGCAGGAACCACATCTATGTCTGACACAACAACAACTATTGGTGCAACAACAACAACAACTTTGGCATCCACAAGTAACCCTACAACATCCTTAGCTGTAGCACCAACATTATCAACTGATGCAGCAACTACAACTATGTATGACACCACAACAACTGTCGGTGCAACAACGACAACAACAACAACTTTGGAATCCACAAGTAACCCTACAAGATCCTCAACTGTAGCACCAACGTCGACAACTGATGCAGGAACCACGTCTATGTTTGACACAACAACTGTTGGTGCAACAACAACAACAACTTTGGCATCCACAAGTACCCTTCCAACATCCTCAACTGTAGCATCAAAATCATCAACTGATGCAGAAACTACAACTATGTATGACACCGCAACAACTATTGGTGCAACAACAACAACTTTGGTATCCACAAGTAACCCTCCGACATCCTCAACTGTGGCACCAACATCGACAACTGATGCAGGAACAACAACTATGTCTGACACAACAACAACTGTTGGTGCAACAACAACAACAACATTGGCTACAACAAGCAGCCATCAAACATATTCAACTTTATCACCAACTTTGACAAATGATGCAGGAACCACGTCTATGTCTGACACCACAACAACTGTTGGTGCAACAACAACTTTGGCATCCACAAGTACCTTTCCAACATCATCAACTGTAGCACCAACATCATCAACTGATGCAGCAACTACAACTATGTATGACACCACAACAACTGTCGGTACAACAACAATAACAACAGCTTTGGCATCCACAAGTAACCCTCCAACGTCCTCAACTGTAGCACCAACGTCGACAACTGATGCAGGAACCACATCTATGTCTGACACAACAACAACTGTTGGTACAACATCAACAACAACTTTGGCATCCACAAGTAACCCTCCAACATCCTCAACTGTAGCACCAACGTCGACAACTGATGCAGGAACCACGTCTATGTCTGACACAACAACAACTGTTGGTGCAACAACAACAACTTTGGCATCCACAAGTACCCTTCCAACATCCTCAACTGTAGCACCAACATCATCAACTGATGCAGCAACTATAACTATGTATGACACCACAACAACTGTTGGTGCAACAACAACAACTTTGGCATCCACAAGTAACCCTCCAACATCCTCAACTGTAGCACCAACATCGAAAACTGATGCAGGAACCACGTCTATGTCTTACACAACAACAACTGTTGGTGCAACAACATCAACATCTGTGGCATCCACAAATAACCCTCCAACATCCTCAACTGTAGCAGAAACGTTGACAACTGATGCAGGAACAACAACTATGTCTGACACAACAACAACTGTTGGTGCAACAACAGCAACAACTTTGGCATTCTCAAGTAACCTTCCAACATCATCAACTGTAGCACCAACATCATCAATGGATGCAGCAGCTACAAATATGTATGACACAACAACAACTGCTGGTGCAACAACAACAACTTTGGCATCCACAAATAACCCTCCAACATCCTCAACTGTAGCACCAACATCGACAAATGATGCAGGAACAACGTCTATGTCTGACACAACAACAACTGTTGGTGCAAAAACAACAACAACTTTGGCATCCACAAGTAACCCTCCGACATCCTCAACTGTGGCACCGACGTCGACAACTGATGCAGGAACAACAACTATGTCTGACTCAACAACAACTGTTGGTGCAACAACAACAACAACTTTGGCATCCGCAAGTAACCCTACAACATCCTTAACTGTAGCACCAACGTCGACAACTGATGCAGTAACCACGTCTATGTCTGACACAACAACAACTGTTGGTGCAACAACAACAACAACAACTTTGGCATCCACAAGTAACCCTACAACATCCTTACCTGTAGCACCAACATCATCAACTGATGCAGCAACTACAACTATGTATGACACCACAACAACTGTCGGTGCAACAACAACGACAACAACAACAACTTTGGAATCCACAAGTAACCCTCAAACATCCTCATATGTAGCACCAACGTTGACAACTGATGCAGGAACCACGTCTATGTCTGGCACCACAAAAACTGTTGGTGCAACAACAACTTTGGCATCCAGAAGTAACCCTCCAACATCCTCAACTGCAGCACCAACATCTACAACTGATGCAGGAACCACAACTATATTTGACACCACAACAACTGCTGGTGAAAAAACAACAACATTGGCTGTGACAAGAACCCCTCAAATATATTCAACTCTTGCATCAACATTGACAACTGATGCAGCAACTACAATTATGTATGACACCACAACAACTGTTGGTGCAACAATAATAACAACTTTGGCATCCACAAGTACCCTTCCAACATCCTCAACTGTAGCACCAACATCGTCAACTGATGCAGAAACTACAACTATGTATGACACCACAACAACTGTTGGTGCAACAACAACAACAACTTTGGCATCCACAAGTAACCCTACAACATCCTCAACTGTAGCACCAACATCGAAAACTGATGCAGGAACCACGTCTATGTCTTACACAACAACAACTGTTGGTGCAACAACATCAACATCTGTGGCATCCACAAATAACCCTCCAACATCCTCAACTGTAGCAGAAACGTTGACAACTGATGCAGGAACAACAACTTTGTCTGACACAACAACAACTGTTGGTGCAACAATAACAACAACTTTGGCATCTACAAGTACCCTTCCAACATCCTCAACTGTAGCACCAACATCATCACCTGAAGCAGAAACTACAACTATGTATGACATCACAACAACTGTTGGTGCAACAACAACAACAACAACAACAACAACTTTGGCATCCACAAGTAACCCTCCAACATCCTCAACTGTAGCACCAACGTCGGCAACTGATGCAGGAACAACGTCTATGTCTGACACAACAACAACTGTTGGTGCAACAACAACAACTTTGGCATCCACAAGTAACCCTCCAACATCCTCAACTGTAGCACCAACATCGAAAACTGATGCAGGAACCACGTCTATGTCTTACACAACAACAACTGTTGGTGCAACAACATCAACATCTGTGGCATCCACAAATAACCCTCCAACATCCTCAACTGTAGCAGAAACGTTGACAACTGATGCAGGAACAACAACTATGTCTGACACAACAACAACTGTTGGTGCAACAACAACAACAACTTTGGCATTCTCAAGTAACCTTCCAACATCATCAACTGTAGCACCAACATCATCAACGGATGCAGCAGCTACAAATATGTATGACACAACAACAACTGCTGGTGCAACAACAACAACTTTGGCATCCACAAATAACCCTCCAACATCCTCAACTGTAGCACCAACATCGACAAATGATGCAGGAACAACGTCTATGTCTGACACAACAACAACTGTTGGTGCAACAGCAACAACAACAACTTTGGCATCCACAAGTAACCCTACAACATCCTTAACTGTAGCACCAACGTCGACAACTGATGCAGTAACCACGTCTATGTCTGACACAACAACAACTGTTGGTGCAACAACAACAACAACAACTTTGGCATCCACAAGTAACCCTACAACATCCTTACCTGTAGCACCAACATCATCAACTGATGCAGCAACTACAACTATGTATGACACCACAACAACTGTCGGTGCAACAACAACGACAACAACAACAACTTTGGAATCCACAAGTAACCCTACAACATTCTCAACTGTAGCACCAACGTCGAAAACTGATGCAGAAACCACATCTATGTCTGACACCACAACAACGGTTGGTGCAACAACAACTTTGGCATCCACAAGTACCTTTCCAACATCATCAACTGTAGCACCAACATCATCAACTGATGCAGCAACTACAACTATGTATGACACCACAACAACTGTCGGTACAACAACAATAACAACAGCTTTGGCATCCACAAGTAACCCTCCAACATCCTCAACTGTAGCACCAACGTCGACAACTGATGCAGGAACCACATCTATGTCTGACACAACAACAACTGTTGGTGCAACAACAACAACAACAACTTTGGCATCCACAAGTACCCTTCCAACATCCTCAACTGTAGCACCAACATCATCAACTGATGCAGCAACTACAACTATGTATGACACCACAACAACTGTTGGTACAACATCAACAACAACTTTGGCATCCACAAGTAACCCTCCAACATCCTCAACTGTAGCACCAACGTCGACAACTGATGCAGGAACCACGTCTATGTCTGACACAACAACAACTGTTGGTGCAACAACAACAACAACAACTTTGGCATCCACAAGTACCCTTCCAACATCCTCAACTGTAGCACCAACATCATCAACTGATGCAGCAACTATAACTATGTATGACACCACAACAACTGTTGGTGCAACAACAACAACTTTGGCATCCACAAGTAACCCTCCAACATCCTCAACTGTAGCACCAACATCGAAAACTGATGCAGGAACCACGTCTATGTCTTACACAACAACAACTGTTGGTGCAACAACATCAACATCTGTGGCATCCACAAATAACCCTCCAACATCCTCAACTGTAGCAGAAACGTTGACAACTGATGCAGGAACAACAACTATGTCTGACACAACAACAACTGTTGGTGCAACAACAGCAACAACTTTGGCATTCTCAAGTAACCTTCCAACATCATCAACTGTAGCACCAACATCATCAATGGATGCAGCAGCTACAAATATGTATGACACAACAACAACTGCTGGTGCAACAACAACAACTTTGGCATCCACAAATAACCCTCCAACATCCTCAACTGTAGCACCGACGTCGACAACTGATGCAGGAACAACGTCTATGTCTGACACAACAACAACTGTTGGTGCAACAACAACAACAACTTTGGCATCCACAAGTAACCCTCCGACATCCTCAACTGTGGCACCGACGTCGACAACTGATGCAGGAACAACAACTATGTCTGACTCAACAACAACTGTTGGTGCAACAACAACAACAACAACTTTGGCATCCACAAGTAACCCTACAACATCCTTAACTCTAGCACCAACGTCGACAACTGATGCAGTAACCACGTCTATGTCTGACACAACAACAACTGTTGGTGCAACAACAACAACAACAACTTTGGCATCCACAAGTAACCCTACAACATCCTTACCTGTAGCACCAACATCATCAACTGATGCAGCAACTACAACTATGTATGACACCACAACAACTGTCGGTGCAACAACAACGACAACAACAACAACTTTGGAATCCACAAGTAACCCTCAAACATCCTCAACTGTAGCACCAACGTTGACAACTGATGCAGGAACCACGTCTATGTCTGGCACCACAAAAACTGTTGGTGCAACAACAACTTTGGCATCCAGAAGTAACCCTCCAACATCCTCAACTGCAGCACCAACATCTACAACTGATGCAGGAACCACAACTATATTTGACACCACAACAACTGCTGGTGAAAAAACAACAACATTGGCTGTGACAAGAACCCCTCAAATATATTCAACTCTTGCATCAACATTGACAACTGATGCAGGAACAACCTCTATATCTGACACCACAACAACTATTGGTGCAACAATAACAACAACTTTGGCATCCACAAGTACCATTCCAACATCCTCAACTGTAGCACCAACATCATCAACTGATGCAACAACTACAACTATGTATGACACCACAACAACTGTTGGTGCAACAACAACAACTTTGGCATCCACAAATAACACTCCAACATCCTCAACTGTAGCAGAAACGTTGACAACTGATGCAGGAACAACAACTATGTCTGACACAACAACAACTGTTGGTGCAACAACAACAACAACTTTGGCATTCACAAGTAACCTTCCAACATCCTCAACTGTAGCACCAACATCATCAACGGATGCAGCAGCTACAAATATGTATGACACCACAACAATTGTTGGTGCAACAACAACAACTTTGGCATCCATAAGTAACCCTCCAACATCCTCAACTGTAGCACCAACATCGACAACTGATGAAAGAACAACGTCTAAGTCTGACACAGCAACAACAACAACTTTGGCATCCACAAGTAACCCTACAAGATCCTCAACTGTAGCACCAACGTCGACAACTGATGCAGGAACCACGTCTATGTTTGACACAACAACTGTTGGTGCAACAACAACAACAACTTTGGCATCCACAAGTATCCTTCCAACATCCTCAACTGTAGCATCAAAATCATCAACTGATGCAGAAACTACAACTATGTATGACACCGCAACAACTATTGGTGCAACAACAACAACTTTGGTATCCACAAGTAACCCTCCGACATCCTCCACTGTGGCACCAACATCGACAACTGATGCAGGAACAACAACTATGTCTGACACAACAACAACTGTTGGTGCAACAACAACAACAACTTTGGCATCCACAAGTAACCCTCCAACATCCTCAACTGTAGCACCAACATCGACAACTGATGCAGTAACCACGTCTATGTCTGACACAACAACAACTGTTGGTGCAACAACTACAACATTGGCTACAACAAGCAGCCATCAAACATATTCAACTTTATCACCAACTTTGACAACTGATGCAGGAACCACGTCTATGTCTGACACCACAACAACTGTTGGTGCAACAATAATAACAACTTTGGCATCCACAAGTACCCTTCCAACATCCTCAACTGTAGCACCAACATCGTCAACTGATGCAGAAACTACAACTATGTATGACACCACAACAACTGTTGGTGCAACAACAACAACAACAACTTTGGCATCCACAAGTAACCCTACAACATCCTCAACTGTAGCACCAATGTCGACAACTGATGCAGGAACAACAACTATGTCTGACACAACAACAACTGTTGGTGCAACAACAACTGTTGGTGCAACAACAACAACTTTGGCATCCACAAGTAACCTTCTAACATCCTCAACTGTAGCACCAACGTCGACCACTGATGCAGTAACCACGTCTATGTCTGACACAACAACAACTGTTGGTGCAACAATAACAACAACTTTGGCATCTACAAGTACCCTTCCAACATCCTCAACTGTAGTACCAACATCATCACCTGAAGCAGCAACTACAACTATGTATGACATCACAACAACTGTTGGTGCAACAACAACAACAACAACAACAACAACTTTGGCATCCACAAGTAACCCTCCAACATCCTCAACTGTAGCACCAACGTCGACAACTGATGCAGGAACAACCTCTATATCTGACACCACAACAACTATTGGTGCAACAATAACAACAACTTTGGCATCCACAAGTACCATTCCAACATCCTCAACTGTAGCACCAACATCATCAACTGATGCAACAACTACAACTATGTATGACACCACAACAACTGTTGGTGCAACAACAACAACAACTTTGGCATCCACAAGTAACCCTCCGACATCCTCAACTGTGGCACCAACATCGACAACTGATGCAGGAACAACAACTATGTCTGACACAAAAACAACTGTTGGTGCAACAACAACTTTGGCATCCACAAGTAACCCTCCAACATCCTCAACTGTAGAACCAACGTCGACAACTGATGCAGTAACCACGTCTATGTCTGACAAAACAACAACTGTTGGTGCAACAACAACAACTTTGGCATCCACAAATAACACTCCAACATCCTCAACTGTAGCAGAAACGTTGACAACTGATGCAGGAACAACAACTATGTCTGACACAACAACAACTGTTGGTGCAACAACAACAACAACTTTGGCATTCACAAGTAACCTTCCAACATCCTCAACTGTAGCACCAACATCATCAACGGATGCAGCAGCTACAAATATGTATGACACCTCAACAATTGTTGGTGCGACAACAACAACTTTGGCATCCATAAGTAACCCTCCAAAATCCTCAACTGTAGCACCAACATCGACAACTGATGAAAGAACAACGTCTAAGTCTGACACAACAACAACTGTTGGTGCAACAACAACAACAATTTTGGCATCCACAAGTAACCCTACAACATCCTCAACTGTAGCACCAACGTCGACAACTGATGCAGGAACAACAACTATGTCTGACACAACAACAACTGTTGGTGCTACAACAACAACAAAAACAACTTTGGCATCCACAAGTACCCTTCCAACATCCTCAACTGTAGCACCAACATCATCAACTGATGCAGCAACTATAACTATGTATGACACCACAACAACTGTTGGTGCAACAACAACAACTTTGGCATCCACAAATAACCCTCCAACATCCTCAACTGTAGCACCAACATCGAAAACTGATGCAGGAACCACGTCTATGTCTTACACAACAACAACTGTTGGTGCAACAACATCAACAACTGTGGCATCCACAAATAACCCTCCAACATCCTCAACTGTAGCAGAAACGTTGACAACTGATGCAGGAACAACAACTATGTCTGACACAACAACAACTGTTGGTGCAACAACAACAACAACTTTGGCATTCTCAAGTAACCTTCCAACATCATCAACTGTAGCACCAACATCATCAACGGATGCAGCAGCTACAAATATGTATGACACAACAACAACTGCTGGTGCAACAACAACAACTTTGTCATCCACAAATAACCCTCCAACATCCTCAACTGTAGCACCAACATCGACAAATGATGCAGGAACAACGTCTATGTCTGACACAACAACAACTGTTGGTGCAACAACAACTTTGGCATCCACAAGTAACCCTACAACATTCTCAACTGTAGCACCAACGTCGAAAACTGATGCAGGAACCACATCTATGTCTGACACCACAACAACGGTTGGTGCAACAACAACTTTGGCATCCACAAGTACCTTTCCAACATCATCAACTGTAGCACCAACATCATCAACTGATGCAGCAACTACAACTATGTATGACACCACAACAACTGTCGGTACAACAACAATAACAACAGCTTTGGCATCCACAAGTAACCCTCCAACATCCTCAACTGTTGCACCAACGTCGACAACTGATGCAGGAACCACATCTATGTCTGACACCAAAACAACTGTTGGTGCAACAATAACAACAACTTTGGCATCCACAAGTACCCTTCCAACATCCTCAACTGTAGCACCAACATCATCAACTGATGCAGCAACTACAACTATGTATGACACCACAACAACTGTTGGTGCTACAACAACAACAACAACAACTTTGGCATCCACAAGTAACCCTCCAACATCCTCAACTGTAGCACCAACGTCGACAACTGATGCAGGAACCACGTCTATGTCTGACACAACAACAACTGTTGGTGCAACAACAACAACAACAACTTTGGCATCCACAAGTACCCTTCGAACATCCTCAA